TTCTTCCCTTTTGGACGCCACCGTACTTTAGTGTATGATCACAGTGGGGTTCAAGCTAGTGGGATTTTAAGTCTTGAAATTATTCCCTATAGGTATTAATCAACTCAAAAAATGGATAATGCATATTCAAATCAGACTTCCATTTGAAATGGCCAAACAGACTCAGCAAAAATAAGGGATTTAGCAAACACAAGAGCATAAGCTTACACCAGCTTTCAAATACAAAAAGGAATTAACCAAAACAGAAAATAGTAATTACAAAACCAATAATTAAGAACATTTAACTTTAGACACATAGGCAATATTAGATGCTAGGATTTCCTATGTAATGAAAAATGTATAAACAAATACAATTAATAGTCATTGCAAAACCAAATCAGAATGCCATTTGAAATGTCCAGGCAGATTTAACCAAAATGAGTCTCATCATAGGTAGAAAGAAAACAGAAGCTTTGATCCACCATCAAATTCAAATTGGTATTAACCAAATCAAGAAAGAGAAATTACAATCCTTATAAAACATGTAATTAGAATTTTGAATACATGGGCCAATTTCAAATACCCTATTTGGAATTATGTCCTTTTATAAAAAGAATAAAAAATATAAAAAAAAATGTTAAACAGAATGACAAAATCATGTTAGGGTATGGACAGTTAGGTTTAAAAAATAATTCAAAATTTTGTATACACATTGGTATTAACCAATATAAACGGGCCATCACAGATCTAATAAAACAAATTTAAAATTTATATATATAAAAAAAAACAGAGTGCAATCTAAAAACCCAAAAAAAGAACACAGCCTAAATATGTATTTTGGTTGAGAAAATAATGACAATTCAATGCATAATAGTTCATATACCAAAAATTTAAGCAAATTTTCCCAAATCAAAATGAAAAACATACTACTTTTACAAAGCTAATTGAATTTCGAAGAACATGACAACAATACTAGTGTTGATTCTCACAAAATCAAATACGGAAAAAACAATATAACAATTGCAAAATGAATTTAAACTCTAGTATACATGCATCAAATTAATTTTAAAAAAAAATTGGAAAAAAATATCAAATACTCAATAACCTAAAACAAAACATGTTCGACATTGTCATTGCAAGCAATAGAGATAAATTTGTATAAAAAACACAACAAAGACGTTAAATAATTGAATAGAAAATAACTTACTTGGATTTTGGTTGCAATTGAAAGAGAGATTGTGGTTGTAGTTGAAAAAAGTTGAATTGGAGAAGAAGGGAGAGATAAGTTTGGGGGGTTTCAAATGCGGTTTTTGAGGGGATTTATTTCCTCCTTTTTTTCCCTTATATGAGTAAGTTAGAGTATTTTCTAATTTTGAAATTTCATTTTTAATAGTTTTATTAATTTTTTTTCACCAATACCGAGGGAAGTAAAAATGTGGATGGGGATGGTTGAGTGTTGTAGTTAATGTGATGATCATGATTACATCACATTAATTGTTGTAAGTTTTTTTGTTTTTTTTTAAAGTAATTTTTTTTTTGTTACTACCTACATTTATGCATTCAAGGAGTCATGATAATTTTATTTAATACCTCACTTTATTTTTTATTTTTTTTGGGCACTTTAATACATCACTATATGTTAGTAATACATGTAATTATGAACATAAGGATTTTATGTAGGTAATATTGTTGGTTATTAAAATCACGACACGTCTACATACTTATTAATGTGATCCAACCTCGATGTCACTTATGTCACTTAGCAATATGCTCGTACCCTTCAACCTTATTTGTTAAGGAGTAATTTGCATAATGAATCTATGATAATTTGTAACTACTAATCAAATAATATGATTTTTTCAAAAGACAGGTCCGTCCAATTCAAGTTTATTTTTATAAACTATGTCAAAAGTTGTTATAAAGGCTTAAGTGATAAAATCCATACTTTAAGTTTTAGTTCATATTCTGTATTCTGTAAATTATGATTTTATGAATACATTTTCTCTTGTCAACCCTAACCTTGTTAAAATAATTTGGGTGATATATTTTTAAAATTATTAATCTTCCAACCAAGTAATTAACAATGTGTACAAATTACTAATTAGGAAGATATTTTTCAAAACGCGAATTATATGCGTGGTAAAAATTATAATTGCTAACAACGTACTTTATTTATGTTATGAATTGACATATAATACAGTAACAGATTTCCAAAAATATAGAAAATTAACAACTGCAATAACAATCATAGTTCCATAAAATAAGGGTTAAACGATATACAAATATAGAGCATATAGTAGTATCTTTTTTAATTGGAATTTATGTGTTTTTTGAGAAGATAATTACCGGAAATTTACATACAATATATCTGAGTAAAGATGTATTACCAAATACATAAAAAACAAAAAATATTCCTTTACAATATTAGTTAAATATAATAATAATGTAGAAGATCTTTAATTATTTGTTATAATTAGTTATATAGAAATTTGTATACACATTTTGGCGCAAGAGTTTGGTGTGAAAATCAAGCATTTTGGCGCCATAATTATGCTATAAATACCAAGCTTAATCACTCAATCAAAGCATCACATTTATTCACTAGCAATTTATTTTCTAGTTATTTAATACTTCCAAAATTTCTCTTTATCATTTTATTTTCTTTATAAAAAATTTAGGAATTTTGAATTGTGGTAACTTGAAAATGGAAAACATTGTCAATTTTTGCACCCGTTTAAACTTTGATACCCATCAAAGTGAATATACATAGGTAATTATTATATGTAATCACTAAAGGCATAATATGTTATAAGCAAACTATCTTAAAATGATTTGGGTGATATATTTATAACTTGAAACGCTTTCTAATTTTTGGCGCCATACTCATACTATAAATACGTAGCAAATAAGCCACAGCAACGCACCACACTTTCACTAACAATTGCTTTCTCTTTGAATCCTGCCACTATTTCTCTTTATCATTTAATTAAGTTCACAAATGGCTCCTGATCCAATTGCAGTCTTTGATCATTTGTTTGACATCATTCACTTTAGTATATTTATTTCACATTTACTTTACACTATTGGCGAAAAAAAAATTTGTGACATCTTGTATGCCTGTGGGCAATTACCTACTGTTCAAATGATTTTTCGCGATGAAGTTACGGTGTATCGTATGGATAATGGAATGACATACGATGACAACCCAGATGGTGGACCTCCTCCAGGGATACTTGGTGATGATGTCAGTCAAGCTAGAGATTATATCCAATTTCGTATATTTATGAAAAAGACTAATCTTAGCATGTGGTGTAACACAAATTGAGCCTTTGATTGAAGGTCAGCCAGAATTTCTTAAAAAAATATTTCGGCTCGAGCGTAACTCATATTACAAAGAGAAACATATGTTCGAAAAGTTTCCTTTGAATGAGAATGGAAAGCGTGTGCTTGAGGTTGTGGAAACCCTTTATGATATGGTTTCAAATGAAGAAACATGGGCACCAACAGCCTTCACCAAACGTCCAGAGAAAATACCCAAGATAACAAAATTTATTAATTTTGTTGATCTTACGTTGGAGGATTAAATGCTCTTAATTTATAAATTTATTTAAAGTAATATGTCTTTTAATTAAAGCTTTTCTTAATATCGAAGTAAACCATTAGGGTTTATGGCTATCACATTTGTAATTTTTTATATTCAATAATATATAATTTCTTTCCTTTGTTGGTTTTGATACATATTTGTATAGGTTAATACTTGTTTTATTCAATAATCAACACAATCGCAATATTTTTTAATTGAGAAGGACAGAAATAAAAGAAAGAAAGAAAATATTTATGTGTGTAAATAATAATTCTAACTCAATAAATAAAAATAACAAATGAATTAAAAATTTCAGTGAAGATAATGTATGCGTAAAATCTAATCAAATTCGTGCCAAATTTTAAATATTTTATTTAATTTACTATTATTAATCAAGTAGTTATATTAGGTAAGGTTTTTATTTAATGTATCAGTTAGTAGGAAAATATATAAAAGTCAAACTATAGCCTATCTCTAGCCTACAATCAAGGGAACGTATTTAAAGATATGTACAATAAACCTACTATAAGAAAATCATATCATTTGTTATTTATGTTAACTAATTTAATTGCTTGTAAAAAAAATTATTCTAATAAATATATTATGTTAGGTTTTTATTTACTATTATTAAGGTAACATTTCTTAGAAAACTATATACAACTATAAACGTTACAAGTCAAACTGTAGCCTACAATCAAGGGAAACGTACATGGTAAAGATATACATAGAACTAAAGTACTTAACTAATTTGAATATATGTACAATAAACCTACTATAAAAAAAATCATTTCATATGTTATTTTTGTTAAATTTTTAAAACGCCCTTTAAAAAAATGAACTAATTTAAATGAAAATGAAATGACATAAAATCATAAATCTGTAATTCAAGATTTATTTATGTACATTTATTACTTATGGACAGAATTTAAAGACTAATTACACGCGTTTTAAGGGATTCTTTTTTTTTATTTTTTTTTTTGAGAAATTATAAGGGATATTTTATGTGCTGGTAATTATTTTTTAAAATTTACAATAGTAGAACGAAAATTATGTATGGAGAATATTGATTGTACATTTGAAGTTAAACATTTAGAATGAGAACAACCAGGTAATCCCGAATAAAATAACAGGTCAATACCTACCGTAAAAATTTAAAACACACATAACAATTTTATTGAACATTCGAAAGTCTCAACATTAACAATAAACTAAAATAAAACATCTTGATGTCTTCAAAAAAAATTAAACAACTTGATAATATCTCTAATAGCTGACATTCGGATCCCAATCGATAATGGTAGGCATTCTCTCGAATATGCTAACCTCATAACTATCAGTAGCTCTTGCAACATCACCCGGCTGATATGTCCTTGGCATTAACTGTATTAAGAAGTCAACAAACCCACCCCGTTTAATAATTGTAGGATGGTCAGTGACATTAGGAAACGCTTCCCTCCTCATCTACATCATGTCCATCCAAACCGTAAGTTTTCTCCTCAGCGAGTTCAAGTTCATTGAACATACGTTTGGGTCTTCCCCTTCCCTTTTTTTTGACAAACTTTTGCTCTATAATAATATCTTTTTCCTTAGGGACTGTTTTTTCTTTCTCAACCTCCAAAATCATCTTTGTCAGTTTGTCCTTTAGTGAAATTGATCGATCATAAGAGGTAGACACCATTCTACAAAGCTGGTTGCTCAATGCACTTAGAAATGCAAAGCGTCCATTTGATGATGACTGATCGTTTGCCTTCTTTAGTTGAAATTGCTTGTAATTATCAGAAAGATGCAGCTTTGCTCTAATTTTCCATCTTCGGAGTATTACACCCGCTGGTAGCTCAACCATTCCATAATGTTTCATGCATTCAAACATATGTCGACATGGAATCCCTATTAACTCAAGTTTCATGCAACAACAGACCATCGATTGTAGTTTCTTGTTGAAACAAACAACGTACTTACACTCTTTCACCACCACACAGTCATTTAACCAAAAAGTAACAGAAGGCCCATCAACATGCATTTCGTCTTCCTCCATTTTAGTAACTATGTGCCTTGATTCATAACCGAGTTCCTTACAAAACAAATTGTAAGCGTTCCTTGTGTAAGTTCGCGCAGCTTGGGTTTTTATTTCAGTCAAGACACCACCAATAACAGGGAACTTGTGTGTGGAGATGTAATCATCTTGATCTTCTTCAAACCTTATATGTTCTAGAACTTGATCATACAGCTCAACAAACCGGTACAACATTATTTTTGATGTTATGACCGTTTTCAGTGAGCTATTCATGGACTCACATCGTTGGGTGCTTCTCATTCCTGCAGTCACAAATTAATTATAGAATGCTATTTAAAAAATGGTTCATGGGATTAGGTAATGACCATTTTAATTATTATTGAAAACATATAAATATAGTTTTAAATATGCATTCATAAATCATTTTTTAGGTAATGACAAATTATAATTAAAAAAATGATACGGACCATAAAGGTTATTTATACACACATTATGTAAAATATCAGTCATAACATTTTTACTCGATTTTCCTCTCAACTGACATACAAAATGATTCATGTATTTTTAGGTTATTACCTATTATCAATCCTGTGAATACAAATAATTCTAATTACACTTACCTGCATAAAAATGTCCAACCATAAAAGCCTCAGCCCACTTGCTTTTGACACTATAAAGATCTTTTGCCCACTTTTTATCTCTGACTTTAGGGTATGCTTTCATTAAATCTTCCCACGCCTCCTCGAACTCAGTTGGTGTCCGAGCTCTGTCCACGCATTTCATGAACCCATTACAAAACCGCCTATTTGTGTGGCCTTTGATGTTACGCATTAGATGCCAAAGACATAGTCTGTGATGAGCCTTTGGAAATAATTCTTCAATTGCGCTTGTCATAGCCTTGTCCCCATCTCTGACAACAGTATGGGGAGTGACACCGCCACCAGCCTTTTTTAACTGTTTTAACACCCATATGTAGGTATCTGTTTTTTCGTTTGTTACAAGAGCAACACCGAATGGCACAGTCTTTCTGTGATGGTTCACATTAACAATGACAACAAAGGGTTTTTGGTATGCGTTGACTTTGTAAGTTGTGTCAAATGCAATTACAGACCTGAACGCCTTGTAATCCCCTTGACTAATCCCATGACACCAAAACATTCTTTCTATCCCATTTTTTGGATGACGAGTATATCTAAAGAAAAAATTAGGGTCTGAAGCTGTTTTACCAAGAAAATATGTTAAGACGGTTTTGGTATCACCGTCTTTTATCTCTTCTTTCTTGAACTTCTCACAAGCATTATACATATCTTTCTTTAAGAATCCTACTCCACGTAATCCCCCAGCATTACGTGCAATATTTCTCATAGTGATAGATGGTTTCACTCCAAAATCAATCAAAGACTTCATATAAATTTGATCGGCTTCACTAACATCTTTGAATGTCATGTATATTTCAATTCAAATAAAACAGTTACAATTGATGCTCGATTAATCGATTACTTTATTTATAATTATATTTGTTTTAAACAGAATTTAAAACCGACCTTTCAATATAAACCTGGTTCATGGGGATTAAGGCATGGTTATGCTCAGCCACAAAACTTTTCACATACCACGAATCTTTAAGGTGATCCCATTTGAAATTAATCACTGCAGTACAACTGCATCGAGTAATTGGTTTTTCCTTACGCTTCCTATCAGGTCTGAGAAGGTGTTTCGCTTCTCGGATACCCTCTCTATTGCACCAAATGATTTGTGAGGTCGGATGGCCATCAAGTTTGCTTAATCTTGTATGCTTACGCCATATTCAAAACCCCGTACACTTGGCATACATCTTGTAAAAATCAATGCATGTTTGAAGATCTTTGAATGATAATCGTTGCATGTCTTCAAATGTAAAATCCTCTAATCTCTTGTCAATTTCTTCCCAAACTTCTAGACCTTTAAACGCTTTTGGCATCTTATAGTTGTCAGTTTCTGATTCATTATTGTCATCATCTTCATTGTTATCCTCATCTCCATCATTTTCATCTCCATTGCCACCATGTCCATCGCCCTCATCTCCATTGCTATCATCTCCATTGCTATCATCCTACATAATATAGGTCATGTATTTATAGTAAGATAGTGTTGTTTAGCTGTACATAGTTTATTAAAATATAAAGTAATGACTAATATAAATATAGGACAATTCCATAGTCGTAAACTTAATTAATACCTGAAGCCCTCGAATCTCAATAATCTCTTGATTATTTGTCTTGTGGAAAGATTTTCATATACAACAACAATGAATTAGACGTCATTAAATGGCCTATAAATTGTGTTTTCGTCTGATAAGTTCTTTGGGTAAAAAAAATAATTTTTGCAACAACACATACCTTAGAATCACAAGAAAGTTGTTGTGTATGAGTTTCATCTGCATCAGAAACGTCGTCTTCTACGAAAAAATCCATTATGAGCTTAAAACCTCAAACTAAAAAAACAATGTAACACGGTGTTCTTAATGAATATTTGAGTCTATAAATTTAAATTTTGAGTAGGAAAGTGATCTGAGTATTAAAGGAAATATTTTTGGTAACTAAATAAAATAAGATATTATTTGGAAAAATATATAATATTCCATGGTAGTAGTAACTAAAATAAGATATTAGTACAATCAATACCACTTTGTGCGTTAGTGGTTATCATTTTAGCTTTTTTTTGTTACCAAAAAGGAAAAAAAAGAAATTAAATTCAAAAAAATAACTACCTTTTGTAAATCGTGGAACAAAGTACGAATATAGTATATTTAATGATTTTCAAATATTATCCTTTATGTTAGTAACTTCACATTTATTCACCCTATTATTTTTTTCCAATAAAAAAGATGTAATATATGTTTGATCAATATATAAGGTTTGACTATAATATATTACGAAGTTTATTCAAACCCAAACAAAATATTGAAATTTATTAAACCACGGACCCCTAAAAATATGATTGATTTCAATTTTATCACGTATGAGAACATCAATATGTAGTTAAAAATGATATTGTTGGTCAATACCAATTCCATTTTTATCAAGTATGAGAAAATAAATATGTAGTAAAAAATGTTAGTGTAGGTCAATACCAATTTTAATTTATCAAGTATGAATAAATATTAGTTGTGGATATTTAATTTTTTTTATTTGCATATATATCTTTACCATATTTAAAGGATATGTGGTTGAATATTATAATTGTTTTTTCTTTCTTTTTATTAAAAAAAAACAAGTTGAAAAGCAAAAAAAATTACAACCGTCAAAATTAAATTTCACACATTTACCAAGGGCGGTTACTATTCACTTTCTCTCTCTATTGCACTTTGTCTCTCTATTTCCCTTTCTCTCTCTATTTCCCTTCATCATTAAGCATTCAACTTTGATAAACAATGGTGTCGGAGCCGGGCGACATCGACGGCAACCTTTTCGAACTTAAACCCACACAAGCGTTGTAAGTTCTATACAACCATACTTACTGTAATTTAAGTAAATTGTGTACTTGCATTTCGGTTTTTGCATGCGTTTTCTATATTAACTATTTGCAATTTCAAAATTTAGCCAAATAATGATGTAAAGTATTATGTGGAAACTAAATTGGGTTCTTAGGTAATTTATTAAAGATTATAATTAGTTGTTGGATGGGTTAATTTTACGAATAATGATGTCAAATTAGTAGTGATTCCGAACTATAATTGGATCATTTGGGTTTTTAATTTTTTTAAGGTGTTGATGAATATAATAAAATTATGTAAAGTGTGTGAATGTATATGTTACTTGATTGGAAGAGTGTGGTTAATTTCATTGCGATGCATAGATTACAATTTTACTTGAATTTTGTATGTAGTGTTATTTGTCTAGAATTATACAACTTTTTAAATTTTTTATTTTTTGGTCACTTTAATTTTAAGATTGTTCGAGTGCATTGGTTATGAATTTTTGTTACCCACTTTAAATTGTATTGAGTAGAAAATAAATCTGATTTCACTCTAAAAATGTGAAAGCAGAAACAAGTATAAGAATGTCTTCCCGAAAGAGAAAGGCAACTCCAAGTTCTGCTCCTGCTCCTACGCAAGAGAAGAAACTTAAACCATATCCTGTTAGAAGTTCAACAAAAGCAAAAACAGGGGTACGTTTTATATATTTTGATTGTCCTCATGTCTTCATTGGACATTCCCTATTTTGTTCTTATCATAATACCACATGTCACAATGTTTTTGTAGGCAACTTGGGAACCAATGTTCCACCTAGAGGAATTTGGTGCACTTGTTAAAGGCTTTCCAAGAGAAAAGAAGGAGAGGTTGGAGGCTTTGGGATTTGGTTTCCTTTTGCATTACAACACCAAAACAACGAGGAAATCGATGTGCAAGTGGGTTATTGATCATTTTGATCCACCCAAAAGAACTCTTGGGGTATATGGTGAAAAATTAGAAATCACACCTACCCATGTAGAGTACCTTTTGGGTTTTAAGGATCATGGGTTTGACATTGGTAGCACAGAGTTAGAGGACAAGAATGCGGTTGATGAAGCACTTCATAGGTTTACGACGCTGAAAATTAAAGGAATGGCATCTGAGCTAAAGAAAGTTGGTCATGACGATCGAAACTTTGGTGCAATAATGTTCACCATATTTCTCATGACAGCTTTAATCTGCCCAAACTTGGAAGAACAGCCACCTACATAATGGCTTCATCTGGTTATTGAAGAAGATTGTATACGTCATTGGAATTTTGCAAAATTTGTGCTAGATAGTATGGTTATTGCCATAGAAGATTTCAAGTCCCAAGAACCACAAGAGCATTTGGGTGGTTGTACTCTGCTGCTGATGGTATGTATTATGTGCATTTTAGTATGTACTGACCAATTAATGTATATGTGATTACCAAACCATAAAAATACTGTAGTATGGTAAAAAATCTTCTTGGCATGCATTATATTAGGTATTGACCAATGAGGTTATAAAAGACTACAATACCATAAAAGCTACTTTGTTTTTTAAAAAATGCTTTTGTTATGCATTTTACTAGAAATAGATTAATGAGTATATTATATTGTAGTTCTATTGGTATGTTTGTTCATTTTAGTAGGTATTGACCAATACTTATTTATGTGACTGCCAAACCATATAATATACAGTAGTGTTTCTTTTTCTTCTTGGCCTGCATTATATTAGGTATTGACCAATGAGGCTATAAAAGACTACAAAACCATAAAAGCTACTCTGTTTATAAAAAAAATGCTTTTGTTATGCATTTTACTAGGAATGGATTAATGAGTGTATTATATTGTAGTTCTATTGGTCTGTTTGTGCAATGACATGGGTGTTTACCAATACATGATTTTAAATATTATTAATACCATAACCAAAGTATGATCAAATAAGTATGGTATACTACTGTAATGTAAGTAACTAATATAGGTGTTAACCTATTAGCTTGTTAGTTATTACATAAATATTGTACAGGACAATATGCATTAGATTGTTTGTTGATGCATATACAAGCACTATTCGATGAGTATTCTCCTCGAGATGGAGATGGACTGTACAGCATCTGGAAATATGACTTGCCTAGGGTTAGAGACTGGACTGATACAAATATGAAGACTTTGCACGAATATATCAGCGGCTTATAGGATGGATACAAAACAAGTAGAGTAAGTGTCGTCCTAGATATTTTTTTTTGTTTTTTGGTTTTTGTTTTTTTATTGTTTTTTCTGTTGCGTACGTTTTTATATTTTCATTACCTACAATATATATGATAACGTTTTGTGTTGTAGTTGATGGCGGTGATTAACACGGAAAAGGCTCCACATAGCTGGAAAAAAGCCACCAGAACATATTCAAGTTGTCGAGAAAGCATTTGACGTCATTCAAGATAAGATTGGTAGATGGGGTGCTGCCATGAACGAGATGTGGAGGTTGATGGGCAGCTTTTTGGAAGACGTCTATGAAGACATGGGTATGCGAAGAAAGGGTAAAGCAAAAGTTGAAGAGGATGAGGAAAACAGTGATTATGAGACGGAATCAAACCTTGGAGCTGATGATTTTGCAAGTGAATCTGATAGTGAAAAAGAAGGTGAAGAAAGGGTTGCCTGAGGTATTCACCATATTTATGTTACTGATGTGATGTTATATACATTTATTTATGTTATATATGTATTTTTATGAAAATATGATTTAACCTATAATCCTGTGTGTCATTACAAAAATTTGTAATGTAAGGAGGCAGAAGAAGATGATGATGAAGAACAGGCAGAGGAAGAGGAAGATGAGGACGTACCATAGAAAAAACCCAAGGGTAGAAAAAAGGGGGAGACAGCTTTGAAGAAGGTATTCCATTATCATATTAATTGTTATTAATTGTTATTTATCTGTATGTATATGATCACCAAAGTATGGTATACAAATACAACGATAATGTTTT